GCGCTCCCGCCCCCCCGCTGCCACCGCCGATACCTAGGCTGGAGTTTGCCAAAGCCTGCGGCTACGAGCGAAGCCTACCCCTGCGGGTCCAATCGACGCTGGCGCATCGGACATCCCCGCTGGGGATCACCCAGCTGCAGATGTCCTTCCAATTCCTAATACCAGCCGTCGTTCCAGAAATCTGACCTGCAGGGGCAGGGTGCACAGGTGGTTGCCTACAACGGTGTCCCTGGCGTCATCAAGGTGCCCCCCCAGGGTTCTACAGCAGGCCCAGGGCGCTACTTGCGAAGCCCAGAGGGCCCCAGGGACTCCGAAACGGCGCGAAACGCCGGGGACACCTTGGGGCATGACCACATTTGGCAACACCCGGCCTGACCGCCGCCGCTGTTGCTGCGGACGCCCCTCAGGTCCAGGCCGCCCAGACCAGGCCAGGCCAGGGCAGACAAGTCCGAGGGTCGCGCCGCATCGTGGATGCATCCGCGATGCGGCGCGATCTGCAGCCTCATCTTCTCATCCCGACATCGCCGATGCATCGGCGCTCGGCGCTGCTGAGCGATCCTTCGAGCTCGTCTGCTCCGGACCTTGCCCTGGTTGCCCATCGATCTGGATTAGCAGGGGCTTGCTGGAGGGGCTTCGCTTCGCTCGGGCTCTCGCACACGTCGCCATGAAGCAAAGCGTACTGAGGGCAAGGGGTCCTGAGCTTTGTCGCCGTGCTCGAGCTCTCGGGGCCGTCCCCAGGCCCCAGAGCCGTCAACAGAGCTGCTCACGAGGAGGAGCTGGTCCTATGGGGAAGCCCTGATGTCCAGGCCCCGTCTCCGTCAGGACCCGTTCTCGCGGCAGCCCACATGGGGTCGAGGTAGATGGGCTCGATGTGGAGCCCGATCTTCTCCATGCCGGCGTCGCCGATGCATCACCGGATGCATCGCCGACGCATCGGCGATGCGGCGCGATCCTCCAACCCCACCTGCTCGGACCCCATTTGGGCGGCATCGAGTTTCCTTCATTCAGGAGGGGAGACACCACAGACACAATCAATCGTCGATCCCCCAGAAAATATTGGAAAATATGGGAAGTGGGGGGACGCCCAAACCTCAGAAAGTATGGGAAAAGATTGGGCATCCTGTTATTTGTGTCTATCTATTTGTGTGTCCCAGGGCCTCTTCATTCATTGCAAGTCTGTCCGAGCCCCAGCTGGTGCCCCGGGGTCCCCAGGATCTGGACTGGCAGGTGTGGGGTTCGTGCGCAGCCGCTCTCCCGCTCGGGCGCGGGCCCGGCTCTCGTCCTCGCCTTCCTCTTCGGCCCTCGTCCTCCCCTCCCTCCTCCTCCTCCTCCTCCTCCTCCTCCTCCTCCTCCTCCTCCTCCTCGTCCTCCTCCTCCTCCCCCTCCTCCTCCTCCTCATCTTCCTTATTTGTTTTTTTCTTTTTTCATTTTCCCTATGACTAACTCCTTCCTGTCGCACCCCGGGGCCAGTCAGAAAGACGGGCTGGGCGTTTCGTTTGAGACTTCCTTATCATTTTAGGAGCCTCAAGCTGAAACATTGGCAATCGTTTCGCAGATGGAGGGCGGGTCGCTTCCACAATGCGGCTCTCTTCTTAACGCCGCGCGCCCTCGTTTGAAAGATGTGCAAGAGTTTCACGGAAAGAGGGCGGGCCGTTTTCAAGGTGTGGCTCTCGCCTCAGCGCCGCGCGCATCCGTTTAAAACTTTGAAGGAATGTCCCGGATTGAGGGCGGCTGGTTTTCAACATGTAGCTCTCGCTTGAGCGCCGCGCACATTGGTTCTGCAACTTTGTAAGACTTTCATTGGTTTTCATGATTGACGCACCAGAATGTCTTCTTCTTTGAACGGCTCAAGATTGACAGGTTGCAGCAGTTGCGTTGATTCGCGATATGTTGAATTCCCAGGAGTGGCGTTCTTCTGCGATTCATTTATCGTCAAGACGCAGCAGTCAAGTTGACCCGTAGCGCTGAAGTCCTGAGAATGGTGTATTGGAGGAGGGAGAGTGTATTTCAATTTCGCTGATGAGTCTTAGGTTTGTATTGGTCCTCCTCCATTCCTTCTCCTTGTAGATAACTCCTCCCTGTCGCACCCCGAGGCAAGTTTTTAGGGCGGGCTGGGCGTTTCGCTTGAGACTTTCTTACCATTTATGGGTCTGAAGCTGAGAGAGTTACAACAGTTTCATAAATGGAGGGCGGGTGGTTTTTAAAATGTGACTCTCGCCTGAGCGCAGTGCACATTCGTTTTAAACAGTTGCAAGAGTTTCACGGATTGAGGGCGGGTGGTTTTCAAAATGCGGCTCTCGCCTTAGCGCTCCGAACATTCGTTTGACACAGTTGCACGAATTTCACGGATTGAGGGCGGCTGGTTTTCAACATGCGGCTCTCGCCTGAGCGCCGCGCACACTCGTTTTTAATCAGTCGCAAGAATTTAACGTATTGAGGGCGGGTGGTTTTCAACATGTGGCCTTCGCCCGAGCGCCGCGCACACTCTTTTTAAACAGTTGCAAGAGTTTCACGGATTGAGGGCTGGTTGTTTTCACAATGTGTCTCTCGCCTTCGCGCCGCGCACGTTTGTTTTAAACACTTGCAAGGGTTTCACGGACTGAGGGCGGGTGGTTTTCAACATTTGGTTCTCGCCTTAGCGCCGCGAGCAATCGTCTTACACATTTGCAGGAGCTTCGCGGATTGAGGGCGGTTCCTTTTCAAAATGGGGCTCTCGCCTCAGCGCCGCGCACAGTCGTTTTTAACATTGGCAAGAGTTTCACGGATTCCCATGATCAACGTACCATGGTGTTTTGGAAGGATTCAGGATTTCGCGGGCGCGACAGTTATGTTGATTCGTTGTGATGAAGTTCAACGAATGGCGTTCTGGCACGATTCTGGATCGTCAAGACGCAGCAGTCAGATTGATATGTGGCGCTGACATCCCGCGAACAATGTTTTTGGCACGCTTAGGATATTCAAACTGCTGTCTTCCAACGAGGCAGTTCCCTCAGTGGAAATGAACCGTTGTAGGGGCCTGTGAAGAGGGAGCTTGGAGGGAGGGTTAATTCCACCATCGTTGATGACTCTTGAGTTTCCACTGGTCCTCCTGCTCCTGTTTCTCCTCTACATCCTCTTCCTCCTCCTCCTCCTCCCTTCAGAAAATCCCGTTAGTTGCCCTGTGGGTTGGATTTTCCCACGGTTGTCCCGTGGTTTGTCCCGTGGTTTGTCCCGCGATGTTTTGTGGTTTGACCCGCGATTGTCCCGTGAGTTGTCCAGTGGGTTTCCCATGGTTGTCCCATGAGTGTCTCGTGTTGTTTTGTGGGTCGTCCCATTGTCTCATGGTTGTCCCGTGGGTTGTCCCATGGGTTGTCTCGTGGCTGTCCCGTGGTTTGTCCCGTCGTTTGTTTCGCGGGTTGTTCCGTGGTTGTCCGATGGGTTGTCCCGTGGATTGTTGTCTCTTGGCTGTCCTGCGGTTTGTCCCGTGGTTTGTCCAGCGGGTTGTCCCGTGGTTGTCCCGTGCGCCGTCCCGTGGCTGTCCCGTGGGAGATGTAACTCGACGTGCAAATTCAATGGCAAACTATATTCAAAACGACATGCAGATCGACATGCAACAGGGCGAAACGAATATCTAAATGCAGATCGAATTGGAAGTCGAACGGCGCATAGAAGTTCACATCGAACAGACTTTCAAATCGGAATGACTATTGAACTTCAACTCGACTTGAACATCGAAGTGCGCTCGAACGGTATTTCGACGTGCGCATCGATCTTCACATACAATTGGCATCGACATGTAAGTCTCAACACACATCGAAACGCACATCGGAAAGCACATCTGATTGCACATCAAAGGTCGCACCCAACTGCAATCGACATGCAAATCGGAATGAGTATCGCAGCGTGGATCCAAGTGCAATCGGAGCGCATACCAACATGCACATCGAGATGTACATCGAGGTGTACGCTCCTCCCCCCAGCCTCCTTACCACCCGAAGCGTGGCTTACGAGATACATATGCACCACCACCGGATCTGGTCCCCCCCTCCGACCCCTCTCCGGGTGGTGGTGGTGACCCTCCTTCCTGTTATACCACCCCTCCTTCCCACACTCCCCTCCAAAGGAGGCTGGAGGTTGGGGGCTGTTTTCGAGGGATGCGTGCGGCGAGGGAGCAGGGGGGTGTCGGCCCTATAAATCATCAAGAACCTTCCCGGCAACAGACGAGGATGACGGACAGAGCGCCTGCGAGAGCAGCTCAGCACAGGCTTTTAGCCCCAACGGGGGCAGGGTCCTGGGGGGTCCTAACATGCCATCTCCGTGCAGGCACGGTGGCGGATTATACCCCCCACTCTCTCCCACACCCCCCTCCGAAAGAGGCTGGAGAGGAGCCGCGTCCCGCACTCCAGCGGCGGCATGGGGCCCAGGAGAGGGAGGGCGTGCTGCACCGAGAGGGTGCGAAGCCACAGCCCTGCAGGCAGTGCGACGGCTCATGGCGACGAGTTGAGCAGCGATGGCTCTTCGGGAGGCTGTTCACCGTCACCTGTCAGCGGGAGGGAGGAGAGTGTCCACCGTGACGCGGGTGCCAATTTTTGTATTTCATATACGCACATGTGTGCATGCATGTATGCATGCATGCATGCATGCATGCAGATATGTAGGTATGCATGTTTGGGTATCTTTAAATATGTATGTGCATGTATGTATGCACGTACATATACATGCATGCATGTGTATACATATAGGTATGCGTGCATGCATGCCATCATGTATTTATGTATGTATGTATGTAGACATGTAGGTGGGTAGATAGGTATGCGTGCATGCATGTATGCATACATGCAACCATGCATATATGTATGTATGTATGTATGCATGTGCGTAGGTATGACAATACGTATGCATGTATGCATGTATGTGTGCATGCATGTATGCACACATGTCTGTATATGTGTGTGTGTGTGCATGCATGTTTGCATGTATGCATGCATATAGATATGTATGTGTGTACGTATGTTTGTGTG